CTCTGGGCAACCTGTGCCACTGCCTCACCACCCTCACTGTAAAACATTTCTTCCTTATATCCAGTCTAAATCTATTCTTCTTTAGTTTAAACCCATTACTCCTTGTCCTGTCCCAACAGGCCTTGCTAAAAGCTTGCCCCCCCCCTTCCTGCAGCCCCTGTCAGCGCTGCCAGGCCGCACTCAGGCCTCCCCGCAGCCCCCTCCTCTCCAGGCTGAGCACCCCCAGCCCCCCCAGCCTGGCCCCGCAGCAGAGGGGCTCCGGCCCTCGGGGCATTTCTGTGGCCTCCTCTGGCCCCGCTCCAGCAGCTCCGTGTCCTGCTGGTGCTGAGGGATCCAGAGCCGGACTTAATCCCGAAGCCTAGGGAAACTCAGACTAAATACCTGAATTTGCTGGAGGTGAGCTAGTGCAGGCATAACGGCATGGTTCCCAAACCAAAATATTTTTACCAGAACTACCTAGAGCAGTACTGTGTGGACTGAAGCGGCTCAGGGAATCGCTGCTCTACGTGCAGAGGTGTGGTCTAGGACATGGCAAAGACTTTGTGATTACGGCATGCAAGGTCTAATTCCCAGTAAAAGGACCCAGAGCATCGCTGCACGCCACGATGACCACCCTGCACGTGCACATGGGCTTCTCTAGCTCTGCCCCTGAGCGTCCAGCTAGTTTAGTAGGAGCATGCAGAACTGCTAAGCCAACACTTTAAAACAATGTGTAAAAAAGGCATAGTAGGCGCCACGGTGTGCTCTCTAGCCAGGCAAAACAACCCCACAGCCCTTTGTTTTTTTTCCTTCATAACAGCTAAAAAATGAAAGACTCTTTTAAGAAAACATAACCGTTGCAAACCACATTACTCCTTCCACAGCTTCATTGTTAGCTAGAATAAAAAAAAATATATATCCGGCATATAAATACAGAGCCTCCTAGAAACACTGCTGCATTCGCTCATTGTTGGGGAGAGCAAATGCCTGTCCATACACTCATTTAAAAGTCAACACTCAAAAGCTTCAGTGCGACTTCTCGCTTAGTCACAAAATGTTGCAAGAAATATTAACGAATACCCCCGAACTGCACCAAACGCACCCGTTTCATTAGAAAATTAAACTCGCATTACGTTTGAAGCTAGATCGGTTGTTAGCACAATCAATTTATTTGAGCATCTCGTGAACATTAATAACTTCTTTCTCAACAGGGACATCATTTGTGGAGGGACCTGACAGATGCAGGGCTGGAATGGCTGCTCGGTTTTCAAAGAAAGTCCGTGGCAGAATTACAGCCCCATCAGTCCATATCACAACTTTATTTATGGCAACATCCTTTCCTTTCTGCCTTAGTTATATAACCATTTTTTTTTTTTAAAGGCACCAATCAACCCTTCAGCATTTCAGCTAAGACTTATTTTAAGAGTCCAATGTCTAAGATCCTGGAGAATGGAGAAAGAATGCACACAAACTAAAATAGAAGTAAATATTTGGGGAAGAGACAAACAATTTTGGAGGGGAAAAAAACTGCATCATAAGCATTTGTGCAGAGTTAATTTCATATCAGAGACTCCAGCTTCAGCCAAAATCAAATATTTGCCTTCATAATTTCACCCCAGGACACTCTGACATGCTAAAAGCCTGCAGAGAGCACTTCTACCAGACCAGCGCTCGATCATCTGACGCCAGCGTAGGAGGTCTTGTGTCTGAATCCTGGTCCAGATGACTCATGATCAACTTTATGCAATTCTTTAAAGAGAAAAGTAGAGAAGATGATTTTCTACAACAGAAGAGTTTCTGCATATGGTTTTCTCGCATAAAAACAAAGTTCCAAAGCAGTGAATAGCTCTCACGCTAGCTTTCAAGTTTTGCGCTGACCATATTCGTTTGGATAAGCAAGATGGAAATTAAACAATCAGGGCACCTGACTTACCTCCCAGCTTACAAGTACACGTGTGTCGGACAGAAAGGAGAGGGAAGGTGCTCTGCACTGGCCAGGCGGTCCTGCTGCCATGGTGACTTCTGTAGCTTCCGAGTACGGCCCGTACTAGAGGGGAACAAGGTGTCTGTACGTTAATATATAGGCATTCCTCAAAGGCTTTTCAAGAATAGCACGTAGAAACTTTTTCAATGCAATAAACTTTCTCAAAGACAGACTGGGCTTCCAACACTCAGCACCAAATATCAGAGTTCAGCATGAGACCGTGTAAAAATTATTGCCAAGTTAAAATGTGACATAAGCTCAGGTACGAGCAGACAGTATGTATGCCCTCCTGCGCGGTGGTGGTAAGTGCCCATGAAAGCATAAGCCACCTCCAAGTTACCCAAGAGTGAGAACGTGCACTCAACACCAGAGTAACTGAGGAACAGTTTGTGTCCCTCTACCTTACCTTAACGTGTTCACAAGTCTGTGCCGCAGCCTGGCAATAACTGGCTTCTCGTGGATATAAGGAGGAGCACAGCAACAGTAAAGCACATACTGGAGTCCAAATCCAGCTTCTTTTATACAAAATGTCTGCCACACTTTAATTATGAAAGGATAGCAGACGGTGGAGCCCAGCCTGGGTGTCTAACAGCAGCGTTCAACGTGCAGGGGCACGCTGCACACACGCCGTGTATGGCTGAGCTCCGCAGGCAGCTAAGTCAACTGCTCAGGCAACTTCTGAGCCCTTGGCAGGAGAATAATTTAAATGCATACTAGCAAAAGAAAAGACAAATTTCAAGAGTCTGGAACTGGCTTCAGCCAGCAGTGCGAGGACAGGAGAGAGATAACAGTGGAAATAGCCTTTCTGAGGCCACTTGAGTGGGATAATGAAGTTTGTTCACTACATCCCCAAGCTAATTAGAAATCATTCTCCAGAACAAAGGAACTTTGCTGGAAGCAATCCGAAGAAAAGCACTGGTATCTACCTATTTTGGAATGCATTACTAGCAAGTATGAAAAGAAATGAGCCGCTACAAAGGCTGAACAACACTGAAATTATGAACCCCAGAACACCTCTCAACAGACATGTGTCAGTATCTGCGCTATCAAGAAACGCTAACACCAATCACTTTGAATTACACAGAATGCACACTTCAAAAAGTCTCATTTATGGACTTCTGCTGGTTTTTTTACCTAATGGGAGGAAGAAAGGTGTTTGCATCTGGTAAAGAACCCCCCCCGCAACCCCCCCCCCCCCCCCCCCCCCCCCCATTTTGAATCTGGTAAAAAAAAACCCCACCAAACTAAAACCGGCCCCCTCATTTAACAAAGGGTGGGACTAGAAATGCTTGCAACTTCAACCACTGTTTTGCCAAAAAAAAGGAGAAAAAAAATAAAGGGGGGAGGGGGGAGTCAAGGTATCATAAATCCAAAGCTACCAGGTAGGCAATTGTTTTCACTCCAGCAAGCAAATCAATTCTCTCCATGTGTATTTAATTCATTTTTCACAAAAAAAAAAAAGTGGATATTTTTAAGACAAAGCAGTTTAACAGTCTTGCATATTTTTCTAATACCCAAGTTAAATTTTAACAGAACTTCTCCTTGTAAGTGAATAACTTTAAACCTTCATCTTATATTTGTCATCAAGATTTCCTGGGAACAAACGCATCAATATGCATGTACTGTTGCTGGGACTGCCATTACAAAAAGATGCTCTCACAAAGGCAAGCAGAACCAACCCAAACCTCACTGAATGAACAAGGTCTTTCAAGAGATCTCCGTGAACATCAGATAGAATTTATGATGTATTTGGGAAGGCATGTCTTGCAAGGAAATCATATTAAAAAAAAAAAACAAACCAAAAAACCCAACAAATCTATAAAGCATGTATGTTTTTCAAATTAAGATGAAAAAATGGTTAAGAAAGTAAGCTTTCCTCAAAATATATCAATACCTAAGTGAAATTTCAGTACTTGATTTACACAGTTAAGATTTAAAACAAAAAGAAGGAATGCAGTGGAAGGGGAATAAACTGATTCCTCCTTGTAAGCAGACAGGACCTTTAGCAGGGATTTTGCACATTTTGGTCCAGCTGATTTTGGCCAGTCAAATCATATTAGTACCTGAGATCTCCTCTTAAAAGAGTAACGGATTCAAAGCTGCAGCTCTTCCTCAAAAGTTCCTTTAAGGATTTCTCATTTTATTTTCTTTTGCCCATTCCCCTTCACCTTTCTGATCACCAGCACCAGCACAATCACTTTCCAGAATTGCCCATCTCAGGCACAGTACCACCTCCAGCGAGAAAAAGCCAAAGCATGCTCCGGCACGGTGCACGTACCCCACCGTCGTTCAAAGCTCTCACTCTGAACCGATACGTTGCTCCAGGAAGAAGGTTGCTGACGGTGCACTCCAGATCAGGCCCATGATACACTTCAGAAACAACTTCTTCGGGTTCTGTCATTTCTACGCTGTACTCTGAGACGGGACAGCCACTTTCTGACGGAGGGACATCTAGAAAGAAATCATATAATTCATTAATAACATAAGGACATACGCCAGGAAGATTAATTTTTTACTTTTTACCACAGAAATATATATACACGCACACACAATCAACAATGATTTTCCTCTTTGATAGATGTCTTACCTGCAGTATCTCGTTCATGTACATGATTGACATTTTAAAAGCAAATGAATAAACTTACTCTTAGTCCTAAACATTCACCAGGTCAGACCGTCACGTGCAAGAGCAGGAGCTCCCCCAGGGCAATCAATGATCTGTCACCCTGGGAAGCTGTGTTTGATGCCAGGAGGTGCCCAGCTACTTTTTAAGCAGAACACAGTAGCTACCATCCTCTTCCAAGGATGTAAAAAAGCTACTCTGCTTCCTTCCCCCAATACCAAAGGTGGTGGTGTGTGCAAAAAAATTGGTCAGTGAGGCAGGAGAAAAGGTATAGAAAGCTGCACGAAGAATGGGACTAGTGCTGAATGCACCCCTTCTGGGACGAAGAGAAATTAGGAGGCACATGGTGGCTGGCTGACCCAATCTTGGCTCCTGGCTGTGGCTGGACACAGGCTGAGGTGGGTCACGTACACTCCAAAACTACTATTTATACATCGGATTTCTGGCAAAGCCTCATTAACACCCAATAAAAGTATGAACAACTGCCATTCCTGAACTTTATTAGCCATGCTGCTAATATTTGTGAGATTCTAAATATCTGTACAATGATCTAAACCCTGTGCTTCACTTGGAATAACAGCTCTTTGGGAAACTGAATTTGTTTTCTGTGCCTATACCTGTTTTGTTGCAGGCACCTTTTTCCCCATGAAAACAACGTATTTGGTAATATTTGCACGTTATATTACAAGCCAGTACCACAGAACCACCCTTCCTGGGGTTCTGAAAAGCAGTGCTCCACCATAAGTGGTACAGTCTTCCAGGAAACAACATGGTATCTTGGATGCACAGGTGAATTTTTATACATGTGTTGAGATGTATTTGTCAGTTAGAAATGGTACTGCTTTAGAATTAGCTTAACGAATGACACCACAAAGAATCTTGCATGCTGCAAGATTATCATAGTAAAGAAAAAAATCTGTTGGATACTGGCATGTACCCTGTATTCTGAAAAATGTGCATTTTTTGACAGTTGAGTGTCACGTTCATGACCCAAGTCCTTTGCAAAATTACAGGTGTCCAATAGATTGTGTGTGTTACACTGTGGATGAGGGTTTAAATGCCACCCAAAATCCTCAGCATGTTCTAACTCAAATTTCTGAGAGAAGTCCTGTATTAGAAGTAGCAAAATGCTTCTAAGTCAATATTGCAAAGGAATAAAAGATCTTGAATCATGGTGGTTTTGCAATAAAAGGATAGGTACTCTAATGTAGCTGATACTTTATACTCCTGACGTAGTGATAGGTCCCAACTAAAACAAAAAATGGGAGCACAGTACCAGGCCTAAAGGACAGCTGGAGGACAGCTAAGTTCAGGAACGCAATACAGAGCCACAGCAGTCGATGAAACGTTGCACTTCTGACTTGTACCGACTTCACTGGACTTTGCTTTGTACTTGCCAGTGAACAGAATACACTGCAACTTTTCACAAGGTCTAGCAACAGAAATAAAAGCTAAGGCAAGTCCAGCAACTAACCATCACTATCAAAGCTATTCAACAGTGAGATGCTCCAACGGCTTACCCCATTGTAGCTGTACTTCTTTGTGCTTCGGCTTCCCCAAAACTCTTGGTGGCCGGCAGTGACCTGGTGCAACACTTAGCGTACGGACAGGTAAACTTTCAGAACACTGGAAGAGAACAGGGGCTGAAGTTAGCTTTCCAGCACGATTATTGCCTACAAAGTGAGGCATGATTAGAAAGTGGCACAAGAAATTGTTTTCTAGAACAATGACTTAGTAGAATTTTATATAAACAATAAAGGATAGGAGATGCTATCAAGCACGTTACTTACAAATGCAATTAATAGAGTTCTTTCATTAGCATACTCAAAACTCTAGCACAGGCAACTCTGATGGCTAACGTTGTGGGGTTCTGTATTTTAATTTTCCTTGTTTTTAAAGTAATATCAAGGCCTAAAGTACTCAATCATTTAAAAAAAACCCCAAACTCAAAGCAGGAGGAATAAAAGTGTAGGTACTGAAATGATTTTAAATCAAAGAAGGGAATGACAGGAATCATTGACTGGAAAATGGAACCCAAAAATGTAAAGAAGATTTTGGCCACACAGAAGGTAATTAATTATTCCAACAAACCACCCCTACTGCATCTTCACTCACCAGCTTTGGTCAGTACAAGCTCATGTACATGAGAGCCTGTGGTCTTTCTCAAGCAAGTGGCCAGATCAGATAAACACGATGGTCTTTTCTAGCGTAAGTGTAAACACCTACAGACTGTTTTTGAGGAAACCAAGTCTCACTAAATCGCAATTTGCCTGAGAAAAACCCATCAGGTACACACAGAAGTCTTCTAAAATTCAGCAACTTGCAACATAAGATTAACTGCAATCAATGTAGCTTTACTATACTACAACAAAAATATTCACCTTCTTTTTAAAGCAGAAATCTTTTACCAAAAATAGCAGATAAATCTCTGAAAAAATATAAACCCAATAGTCCTTATTGTTCAATAATACTTACCTGACTGTGTCCGCCAGTGCTGATACAGCATGCCCGGAGTTTATACAAAGTGCCTGGTTTCAAGTTAGTACAGGTATATTCTGTAGCCGATCCACTATATGCCACTTCCCATTGATTTGCTAAAAAATGAGATATATCCAAGTTTAGAGAAGTATAATGCAAGAAGTTTACTAGTGACTAGGAGGAAAGAAAATCCTTCATGTGGTCTTCCACAAATTATATATTTCAGGAAAGTCATCAGCGTTAAGATTACTACGAATATTATTCCTGCTTAAAGGCATACATATACACAGACACATACACAAATATATATATGCTTAAAAATATAAATATTTCTGAAATACATTAAAAATATCAAATCAAACAGTAGGTTCAGCCCTATAACCTAAAATTCCACCAGTCTTAGAGAAAAAGAGCATAGTTTAAAAAAAAGCACAACAAAAACTCCCCAAAATCCAACCCAAACTCTCCCAGGAACCCTGCAAGTTTTAAGGCTGCAAGTATGTAACTCAGTTTCAATTGTAACTGCAGCATTAGTGCATTAATGATAATAACAATAACAGCCCAAAGGGTCAGTACTTCTTTATAGTAGCCATAATGGATTGAAATGGAGAAAACTTGTTTCAAGTTTACCTTCTGGACTTCCTTGAGAAATCTCTAATAGATACTTTAGGATTTCCGAACCACCATTATCCTGTGGAGGATCTGAAAAAATAAGGCAAGTTGTTAGTAAATCAAGATTAGGATTGAAATGTAACAGAAAGATTACAGAACTTGTTTCTGATTCTGCTCCTTCTCCTCCACAAACGTCCCCGCACTAACTCCACCAAGGAATTTATAGCAGAAGTGGGCAGCAGACCTTAGTTTTCAGCACGAGCTAGAATAAGGTGCTGGATAACGATGCTACAAACAAAATGTATGGAAAAAGCATTGAAAGAGATGCAGCATGGAGGCTTGCCCCATCGACGAAGGAAGCAGCTGGAATGATGCTGCAATAGGACATGAAACGGAAGGTGAAAAGCCTGAAAATGCACTTCAGTGCAACTCCAAGTGAGTCAATAAAAACAAGCAACATTTTTGATTCTGAAAACAGAAGAGCCTCTACACATCTTTTAAAATATTAAAAAAATTAAGTTGTCAAGCTCTCCAAACACCATTCAACTGTGGGCTGAGAAGCAGCATGAAAAATCTAAGTTCTAATACATATTTACAGCATTTTATTTGAATTTATTATGACCCAAAAGAGCTCTACTATGACAAACTGAACTGGCTTACCCCACTTCACACTAAAGCCATGAGATGTTATTGGCCCCTTAATAACGGGTCTGGTTGGAGGTCCTGGCCTGTCTGGGCTTGTTGTACAGACCAACACTTCGCTGGGAGAACTCTTTCCTTCCACATTAGAAGCAAACAGCTGAAACAAAAGCACAACAAGTTTGTTTACTGTAACTGCTTTTCTGACAGTTCTGCACGAGACTTCTTTTGGTAATTGCACAAATATCATTAAACTGGAAAGTATGTGACATCCCAAAAAAGTGTGTGGGATTCTAATAACAGATATTAGATTGTCACGTTGTTTCTTTACAAATCACACTGATTTTCCCCCTCCCTCCACTAGCAATAGATCGTGACATTTTTAAGATAAGAGCGCTGCTGGTTTTCCCTTTAAAAAGACGACACATGGCAACTTGCAGTTATTTACTCATAAAAGATGAAAACGATGACAATAACGATGCTATTTTTGTTCCAGAGGTATTTCAAACTGCTACTTAAAACAAATTAATTCAGAGTATCAGTAATCACACAATTAAAAGCTCAAGCAGCATGACACACAAACAAGAAACACGTAATCTACAGCCACTGAAATGAGCAGGATGCACACAAAGGAAACTTTCTCTGCCAAATCCTTCGCCTCTACTCAAGAATGCCTTCTGCTGACTTCAGGGAGAAGGCTGCTAAGCTAAAAGACGACATGAGGACCTGGCCAGGAGACTGAGCAGATCAGGATCATTAAAAAAAAAAAAATTAAAAACAAAACAAATGGTCCAGTGTTTTGTGGCTGCTGAGATCTGTATTAGCTCATGCTAGTCTCTGGGACAGAGATCTGCTGCCAAGAAAGTGAATAATAAAATATGTATTATAATTGCTAATTGTAAATGTAAGCTAGCAGGAACTTTTCCACTTGGGAAGCTCTGTTATTCTGAGGAGCAGTCATTTGTGTATACTCTCTCCTAACACAGGTGTCTGAGGAAAACAATTTGCAATTTTCAAGGCCAAAGAAGTAACTGAGGTTCTCTAGCCCATACACTCGGTTTAAAGAAGTCACTAAAGCCACTATCAACTCCTGTGTATCATCTCCAGGTTCTTCTCTGACTATTCTCCAGTTTAAGACGTCTTGCCATGAACACCAGACACATGAGCTAGACAAATATCCCAGTAACAGCTCTGGGGAATCTGTATGAGCTACAGACGTAATGCAACATTTATACATTTCCCCTATGTATACAGCTAAAGACTGCACTAGCCTGGCAGGAACTGAAAATTCATATTAAACTGACTGTTCAAGCAGGACCTTCAACACTTTTTCAGAGCCACAGCTTTCCCATCCTAGAGTCCCCATCCTCTTATTAGGAATAAAAATAAAACTGTTCGTTTCCAGGTCACTGATAAAACTATGAAATAGTATACACAGCACTGCTTTTAGTGCAACCTCACTAGAAACAGCCATTGGTGATTCCTTTCTATGCTGGCATGTCAAACACTTCAGAGAATGAAATTTCTGCACCTTGCTGTGTTGTGTTTGGTATCATTTGCCCTCCTGTGCCAAACCCTCGCTCGGTACCGAACAAATGCCTTTACGACGGTGCATTACACTACCATTGTCACTTTAATTAACCAACCTTTATTTCACCAAAAATAAAAAAAAAGGATGTCTCCTCTGTAAGCACACGGTGTCTGGCATGAATTAAATTTCCCTCTTATTTCTTTATTATTAAGGGGATTCCCCCAAAGAACCATATTTTGCCCAGGTTCAAAGACAAGCCTAGAACTTGCCAGATAGCCCCCACCGTGAGTTTTAAAACACTGCTGTGATCCTGGGGTGTCTGTGTTTGGTTTTGTTTGTTTTGCTTTGTAGTTTTGGGGATCCTCCCCCAAGTTCCATAGCTAATTCATGCTGGTCCGCATGCAACGAGGGAACGTCTCGGTGCTGAGTCAGATCAGAGTTGTGCTTGGGGCCAGTGGCACAAGGCTACAAGTTTGCTCCGATATCAACCCAGTTTTGTAAAATTCCTGTTCAGTTTGGAAGCAGGGCTGCAGAGAAGCACTAACCATCCTCTTCCCTCAGACAGCCACAGCAGCTTTTACAACGCTAAACTAAAAGGCATCATCTCTGAGCGACACCGCAACAAATTTCCGATTCTTTGGGTAGCTCTTCATGCAACTTCACAAGGCCTTCTGTCCCACGAAGGAATATGTGCAAAGTTGTTTTTAAGGATTTAAATGAGTCTTTGGGTAAAGTTTTTTTTTTGTTGTTGTTCCTGAATGTACTAAGACCTACAGAAGCCGAATGTTTTCAAATCAATACAAACCCATGCCATCCTTCTCCCCCTGCGCCGTTTCCAAATGACACAAAGCTGCTCCCAGACACCGTTTCTGTTTGGCAACGCGGGAGCACAGCGGACGATGGCTGTACAGACAGACAGCTCCTCGCCATCTCCGGAGGGACGGCAGCGCTCCGGACGCGCGGCCGAACGCCATCTTGTGGAGCTGGGCTCGGCTCCCGGCTTGGCTGAGCCGCTGGGACGGACAGACAGACAGCCGCACCGCAGCCCATCCGGTACAAACCACACCGTCCTCTCCCCAACGGCATCACCCGGCACTTGTGTTGTGCTCGATGGCTTCAGTAGCAGCGAGGCAGATGTCTGAATTTTGTGTTTGCAAAAAGACTTCAGAGCATGTCTCTTGGGGGGGGTGTCTGTATTTAGGAGCACCAGCAGTTGCTAAAAAACCAGCTCCAAACCCAGCCGCGTGTACATGAGACGGAAAAGCTTCAAATTCTGCATGTCAGGGGAAGGCAGGCCCCTGAGCTGGGGAAGGAAGCTGTGCTTGCTGGGCTCCTTACAGCGTTTTCTCCATTGTGCAGAAGTGAGATTGGTTTTTGGGGAGCAATGCAGCCGATTACAACCAGCTCAGGCCCTGAGCCACACTTTTACAATACCTGACAGTACACAGTACCAAGAACCATGCCCGTTTCAAAAAGGCTAAGCAATGAGCATTTTCTGTAGTAAAAGTAAAAATACAACTTTGTTTTAATCTATTAGGTCTTAGTATAAAATAAATTGGTATTTGACAGCTCAATTTTTCAGGTTTTACTAAAGGGTCCCTACAGTGCCTGGAAAAAAAACCAACACAGAAAATACTATGCAATGACAAGAGGAAAAAGATTTTACCCTGAATTTATACTGCGTGCTTCTTCTGAGATTCTTCACAGTACAGGCTTGCTCCTCTCCAGTGTACTTTGGGTGAAACACGCTATCCTAGAAAAAAAAAAGAACAAAACCCCCAAATTCCTGTAACTGAGCAGTCTCAGGAAGTGCTCTCTATATTATAGTCTGTAGCTAGAACACATTATACCAAAGGGGCTTTAGAGTCAAGTGGGGTTTTTTATTATTATTACTTTCAAGCTGCAAGGCCACAATAATTTTCCTTCTAGAATGATGGTGCAACTGACCTGAATAGTACAATTTTGCTGTAAAATAAGCACACAAACAATCGTGATAGTTTAACACATTACAGAAACAGAAGTGACAGATGACAGAAGACAAGCACACCACACAGAGGTGAGGAGGACGCAGCAGGCTGACATGGTTAAGGACAAGCTGTCTGGTACCTTACAGACTCCTGTGAAGCTTTGTAAAGGAATCATGGATGACAGTACAGATTTTTGCTAAGGATTCATAATTCTGCTATGGAGCAGAACAAAAATCACACAGCTCCGTCCTGCCAAGTACCCAGTACTCCTAAAAGACCCTCCAAAGCAGCAATCCACAATCTTCTCAGTGATCTTGAATTAGTAAATGAAACTCAATCTAAGTCACGCAGTGTACTTTATAGTAACACGGTACTTACATTATCTTCTTCCTGAATTTCCAGGGTGTAGGAAATCACTTCCTCTGGTGCACATCCTTCTACTTTATTCCACTGCAATGCAATCCATGTAACACCAGCTCGAACAAGCCTTGGTGCAGAAGGGGTCTGAGGAATATTACCTGCAGTGTAGCATACCACCTCCTGGCTGTACCCACTGCAGAGAGGCAGAGAAGGAGAGAGACGAATATTAAAAAAACAATCAACCAAACCCCCCCAAAAACCCTCAAACCAAACCTCAGTGTATTTAGATAAATATTTCATGTTTTCAAAAAAATCTACAGAGTGTTAAAATTGCCCAGGTGGAAAAGATGAGCACCCAGTTAGGAAATGCCAGAACTAAGAATAGAAAAAAAATGCAGGATTATATGCGTCCTCACAGTCATTTTTACAGATCTCATCACGATAATATTGGAAAAAATAACATCTGATTGCCTAAAAATATTAACTTACTATTAACTGTGAAGTAGAAGAAAACCTCATTTAACAAAGGGGAACTACAACATAGGAAATAAAGCCCCAAGTGTTCAACTTTCAGGCGTTGAACTTGAAACGCAGTTTCCAGGTTTTATAAACTCAGAATACAACTTCAGTTCAAGCTACACATCTGAAAGCAGAGTGCTTCAGCAAATCTAGTCTCACTGTTTCAGACATCCCCCTCCAAAGAAAGCAGGGGAAATTTATCCAGTCATGACCATACATGCTCAGCATCACGTAGGAGCTGTCTGGTGCAGGCACAGATACCTTCTAACCCTCCAGGCTGGTTCCACTCCTTTCTAACTTTCCCTGCCCAAACTTCTTTGCATTTTAAGCTGAGCATGAAGTTGCTCTTTTGCACAGCTCAGGTTGCAGAGAGAACATCTGCGGCAGAGGAGATGCACGCTCTCATCTTGTCTAAATCCCAGCACGCAATGCCTTGAAACATAATAGGCAGTTGTGTCGAGCAAGTGTAGGAACAGTCCTCTTAACACTCCAGGCAGAATATATTATGCGCAATGAAAATTTGAGAACAAAGTTTAAAATGGACAGGTTTTGGTGAATTTTCAGGAGGACAACATCAGAACTCTCAACTGAAGGCAATGTTCTTGCAATTTTCCAATCTCTGTTTCCAAAGTACAAACATGTTTTGTTCCTTAAAGTCATCGCATGAATTTAATACACGCAAAAAGCCACATCTCCTTTTTCTGAGTTTTCTTTCTCAAAACTAACACATTTGTTGAAATACAGTTAAAAAAAATCCACCTATAACTAACACCCAAACAAGACAAAAATAATCTTAAATGGTAAGTGCACAAGCATTACAACCAACCAAAACCATCTTACAACACGAAGCTTTAGATGACATTATCATGTCATAATTTTGAGTGCCGTCTGTAAAAATAAGCCATGTGCTGTAGTGCTTATCTCATAGATTAACACAGAGCAGCTGACCATAAATATAGTTCTTAGTTCACTCCCTCCTCAATAGCCTGTGGAAAAAAAGAAACAGAGAACAACAACAAAAAAAAAGGGGGG